CATCTGGCTCATGGGCGTCTACTTTGCAGGGCTCGCCGCGGCGGCCCGCAGCGCGCGCCTCCGCCGGCTGCTGCCCGAGCCTGCCGAGCGCGCGGCCGCCCTCGGCGCCGCGGCGGGCGCGCCCTCGGCTGCGCCGCGGCGCGCCGGCCTCGCCCGCGCGGCGCTGCTGTCGTCTCTGGCCGCCTGGGGCGCGCTCCGGGCGAGTGTCCCGCTGGCCGGTCTTCTCGGCGGCTCGGCCGGGGCCAGCACCGCTGCCGTCACGGTTTGCTCTTGGCTCGCCGGCTGGCTGACGCGGCGGTGTGCCGGTGGTTCGGCGGGCGCCGTCGCCGTTTTGTGCCGTTGGAGCGGCTGCTTGCTGATGCTGGTGTTTTTCGCGTCGATCGAAGCGCAGGCTCGGATCCCCGAGCTGCTCACGTCCAGCGCCTCGTGGGTCGGCTTCGCCGCCGTGTCCCTCCTGGCTCACGCCGTGGCGCTGCTGAGCGGGGCCGTGGCCGCGAACGCGCTGCTGCGCCGCGCGCCGCGGCTGGCCCCGGTCGCTCGCTGGGTCGGTCAGCCTGGACGAGGTGCTGGTGGCGTCGAACGCGAACGTCGGCGGCGCCGCGACCGCCGCGGCCTTCGCTGGCGCGACGCTGAGCAGACCGGACCTAGTGCTGCCCGCCACTTGCAGCGGCATCTTGGGGTATGGAGCGGGTACTGCCGCCAGAGTCGGCCTTTCCAGCTTGCTGGGGGCTGGCCCGGGCTAACAGCGAGGCGGTCGCGGAGACTCGATCCTTACTAGGGTTTTTGACTGTAAGAGGGGGGGGGGGGGGGCGTGGGCGCCGCGTCTGCCCACGAGGGGAAGGGCCAGCAGGCAGGCCCAGGACCCAGGAGGAGAAAAAACACAGACACAATTAATCGTCGATTCCCCAGAGAATCTGGGAAAAGATGGGCAGTGGGAGGGAAGACAGGAACCCAGAAAATATAGGGAAATATTGGGAATCCTGTTATTTGTGTGTATTCGCTTGTGTGTCCCAGGGCCCCTTCAAGGACCGGGGCCCCAGACCTCCGACGTATTGACCAGCAGACAGTTCGGGGATCTGCCGCCGTGAGCGGCCTTCGGGGGCCTTCGCAGGGGCCCTGAGGCAGACAAAGAGCAGATTCGTGATGAAACGCCAGTCGCTCAAAAGTGGATCGTCTACAGAATTGATTTACCCCCAATTTGATTCCCTGTCGAATCTACAACACATAATGTTCCCTAGAGTTGCTGAGCACTCTGCGCATCCCTGGCAGATGCGGCGGAAGAACAAGTTGGGGGTAAATCTATTCTGTAGTCGATCGCCTACTCGAAGTCGGGACTTTCGGGGGCCGCGCATAAACAAAACAATATAACGGATGTCTGGGGATCAATCGTTCCCGAGCGTCCTGGAACACTCTCAGAACGTTCCGGAGCGCTCCAGAGCGGCCGCGGCGCCCGATGCATTCTCCAGAACCGTCGTATCGTAGAGATCCCCGATGTTGCCCTATCTCGGGAGCGTTTTAGGCTGCGGCATCGCGCGCCCTGCCGAAGCTCTAGGGTTTTCAGATGGGGTCCGAGCAGATGGGGCCGGAGGATCGCGCCGACATGGGCGTCCAGGGCGCTTGCATCCTTACCGCGAATCCTCCCTCACTGTCAGTTTTGATTGCATGTCGGACCCCTATCAAGGAGGCCCCTACAAGCGGGCACGGGCACGCACGGGCCCCGCCGCATGCTGCGCCCAGAGTTTTCGCGCACCGCTCGCCCCCGGGGCCCCCAGGAGATGGATCGCCTCCTGGCGGACCTGTCGGAGGAGCGCCAGGAGAGCGCGGCCTCACCCTCCGGGGTGGGCACGTCTTGTTATCGCTCCGCCGTGCCCCACTTCGCTTCCAGCGCGTCCCGCCCGTAACCCGACCAGCGCCTGTGCCTGCTTCGGTTGGCTTGCGCCCGCTGGCCAGAAAGGTTTGCCCGCGAGGTTCGAGGGGTTCGAGGTTGTTGGAGGAGGCCTTTCGGCGCGTTTCCGGGGGATGGAGGGGGATCACTTTCAAAATTGAGGTTCGCTCCCCGGCAGAGGGGTTCGCTCCCCGGCTGAACTTTTTGCTTCCCTTGAAATTCGTAGGAAATCTGAGACAGCCTCTGAAGACCCTTTTCAAATCCCTATGCCAGTCCCCCCCATATCGTTGCCCCCCAGAGTTCTTCAACCTCCGCTGGGAAATGAACCCTTCTGCAGGGGAACGAACCCTTCTGCCAGGGAGCGGGCCTCTCGCGGGGCGTCTCGGGCACGGGCGGCGCTCGTTGGTTGGTTGAGTTCAGGTTTTAATTGGTTGCGGGCGTCGTCTGGAAGGTAGGAGGAGGACGAAGAGGAGGAGCGGAAGAGGAGGAGGACGAAGAGGAGGAGGGGAGGAGGAGGAGGAGGAGGAGTAGGAGGGGGAGGGGGAGGCGTTGACGACGAACGAGTGGGGGACGAATAGGACAGCGCCGACGAGGAGGCAAGATGCGGAGACAGGAGTGAGGAGGCAGGAGTGAGGAGGAGGAGGAGGAAGGACCAGGAGAGGGGGAGGAGGATGAAGAGCAGGAACAGGATAGGATAGTGGACGAGGGACATGGGGGTAAGGGAGGGGAGGAGGATGAGGAGACGGGCGTAACGACGAGGACGGGTCTTCCCTCTCTTCGTCTGCCTGGTTCGGCCTGTCCTCGCGGCTCCGCGGAGCCAAGCGAGACTCAGCTATGTTCCGCTGCTGTGGCACGGGCCTTTCGCGCAAATCTTTCTTCCCAGAAAGGGCTTAGGCCCAGGGTTCTCTTTTAGAAGGTAAACCTAGTGCCGGGCCTCAACTTGCGTAAGGCCGGCGATTTGGTGTTGCGATAAATGACGAGATCGCGCAGGGCCGGGGAATTAAGGAGTTGAGGATATCCCTAGCGAAACGTTTGTTCTTGAAATTCCGATCGATAAAACGCATGATGAAGTATATATTCTCGTTTGTTGCGGATGTCTCGAGCGAAACGTTTGTTTTGTGTTATATATGTGCCCCCCTTGGTGACCAGAATTCAGAGGATGTCTCAGGTGGAATGTTTGTCTTCACGTGCCCTCGTCTTGAGGTTGTCTCGAGCGAGACGCTTGGTTTCACGTGCCCAGGTCGCCCAGGCGGGTGTCTAACATGAAGATGTGTTGAGGACGTCTCGAGCGAGAGGCTTGCTTTCGCGTGTCCAGGTCGCCCAGGCGGATGTCGAACATGAGGAGGTGTTGAGAACGTCTCGAGCGAGACGCTTGTTTTCACGTGCCCAGGTGGCCCAGGCGGACGTCTCAGGTGAAGATGTGTGGAGGATGTCTCGAGCGGCCGGCGTGTGTGTGCGTGTCCGGGTCGCCCAGGCAGAAGTCCAACATGAAGACGCGAATCGCTTGTCTCAGCAGAGGGCGTCGCAGCCCAACCCCGCCCTTCCGTGGGGCGCCCCCTGGCGCGCTGGCGCGTTCCCTGTCGCGTCCCTGACGTTCCCTAGCGTGCCACTCGGCGTTGCACGTTCCCTGGCTCGTCCTCTGTCGCATTTCCTGGCTCGTCCCGAGGAGTTTCCTCTGCCCGTTCCGTGGCGCTCCCCTTGCAACGCCCCTTGGCGTGATGTCCTCTGGCCGCCCCATGGCACGCGCCTTGGCACGTCCCGTGGCAGATCCCTGACACGTCCAGGGCACGTCCCCTGATGCGTTCCCTGACACGTCCCATGGCGCACCCCCTACTGCGCCCATGGGCACATCCTGTGACGCGTCCGTGAGCCTGTGCCCCGTGTCGTATCGTTCCTGTTCGGAGCTGAATCGGACTTTGAGGTCGAGTTGATTCAACGTCCTCCACGTTTCCACTTCAACTAGCTCTGAAGCAGCTACTATGTGCTCAGGCAGCTCGAGCTTAAGATCCAGATCATTTCGGTCAGGACTCGAGTGCTAATGAGGACTCGATCCACAACGCTATAGAGCACAATCGCGGCATGGCACATCGCAATTCAGCACGGCACGGCACAGCACAGCACAGCTTTGGGCACGGTAGCTCAAGATCGGTACACTCAGCATTGCAATTGCCCGTCTCCCAATCATGTGTTTTGAAACGTTGCCATGTCTCACATTTCTATATTCCTTTCCGGGTTCGTGGGCGGATCATGTTTCGGGCGGGGTGTCGAATCGTCCAGGCTACTGTTGTCCTCGCCGTTGCTGTCGCCCCCTGGACGTTAAGCAAGGGCAGCGACGGATTTGACCTTGAGCCCGCGCTGTCTCGTTAGCACTTGTCGGCCCTGCGTTGCATCCCCTGATGCGGGGCACGTTCATGATCGCAGGCGGCATCGTTTATCGCATCTGGCTGCAGCCTGAGCGCATACTTCGAAGCAGAATGTTTGGCGCAAGCTTCGTTTCTTGAGAGTTGCAGGCACGCGGCTGGCGTGCCGTCTGCAGGGCGCGGTGCTTTGGGCCGCCCAGTAGCTGGGGGAGAGAAGACATGCTGAGGACAAGGAGGAACCAAAGAGGAGGAAACAGAGAGGGCAGGAGGAGAGAAGCGGGAGGTGGAGGAGAAGGACGACGAAATGGGTGTGTACGACAGGAGGAGAGCGGCGAATGTGGATGAGCGAGGAGGATGGGAACCGGAAGGAAGATGTCGACGCTGAGCCCAACCAATAGAGCAGAAGGGCCAGCCAGGAGGACGGAGAAATAGGAAGTGGGAGGAGAGGACAGGAGCAGGGAGGTCATGGCGGGCAACGCCGACGATGCCGACGACGACGCGAACGTCGACGCCGACGTCGACGCCGTCGCTGACGACGCTGGCGACGACGACGCCGTCGACGCTGACGACTCAAACGGCGCCGTCGACAACGCCGACGCCAGCGACGGCGGCGGCTTCGCCGACGACGACGCGGACGACGACCCAGACGGTTGCGACGATGCAGGCGCCGACGCCGGCGACAATGATACCACGGCGCCGACGACGGTGGCGGAAGCTGCAGCGATGGCGGCCCCCATGCGCCGCCGGAGGACGCCATGCGGGCCAAGCTGCAGGGCGTCCGGAGATCACCCGCGCGCGCCCGCCCCGCGCGCAGCTGCTGCTCGCGGGCTGCCGGCAGCAGCGCCACAGGCATGGGCGTCGGCATCATCGGGGGCGAGCGTCGGCGGCGTTTCCTCATCCGTGATCACTGTGGTCCTCTTCCTCCTCCTCCTCCTCCTCCTCCTCACCCTCCTCCTCCTCCCTCTCCTCCTGCCCCTCCTCCTCCTCAGCTCCTGTTCTTTTGCATTGTCCTCTTCCAGCGTCCTTGTTTGTCGATCGCTCTTCCTGCATCCCTTGCTCCTTCGTCCTTTCTCGTCCCACGTCCCTGATTCCTTCGTCCCTTGCTCTTCCATCATCCTCCTTTTACCCCCTCCCTTATCTTATCATTCCTTCCCCTCCATCCTCCCCCCTCTCCTTCCTCCCGTTTCTGCTGCCCTCTCACTATCTTCCTTCCCTTCGGGGTCTATCCATTTAACTTGGAACGATACGGAGGAGATCAGCATCGTCCCTGCGCAAGGATGACACACACACATCGAGAAGCCATACAGCTCTTGCTGCGCATGTGGGCGACGCAAAAAAACACGGGATCCTCTGCGCCGACGTTGGCGCGCAGGCTGCCCGCAGAAGGTCCCGCGCAGGCGCCCGCGTCTCAAAGTGCAGCGGGCCGCGCCGGCGGCCCGCGGAAGCCGCGGCACACAGAGATCGAGACGCGCAGGCAGCTGTCTTTGCCCCTGGCGTCTGCTGGAAAAACACGACGCGTCTGTCTTTTCTCCTCCGTCTGTCTTTCCGCTTCCGCGCCACGTCTCTCGTCCCCTCGCTCTCCTGCTCCCTCTTCGCCCCCCTCCTCCTGCCAGCCGGAGGGCGCCGGCGAACCAAGGGCACGGGGAGGAAGGGGGGGGGGGAGTTGGAGGTTGGAGGTTTTCGGCCAGGCTCGTCGTTTCTCTGGAGGTTCGCCCCGCTCGGGATGCCCTCCAGCAGCTGCGCCTCGCCGAGAGCGTGCCGGTGCTGGCCGCGTCGTCCCGACCGAGCGCCGGAGGCCCGAGGTGTGGCCCGAAGGCCAGAGCCCGAGTGAGCAGCAGCGTGAGGGAGGGAGAGAGTCGGAGGTGGACAGACCTCCTCCTCCTCCTCCTCCTCCTCCTCCTCCTGGTCCTCCTCCTCCTCCTCCTCCTCCTCCTCCTCCTCCTCCTCCTCCTCACTCCTCCTCTTCACTCCTCCTCCTCCTGCGCGCTCCCCCTCCCCGCGCGGGCCTCGCACCGCTCTCCACGTCGATTAAGGAATTGGCCGTTTTCGGTTCGCGAGAGGGCGTCGCGGCCGTCATTGTTGCGGGTCCAGGTCCGTCGGTTTCGGTCCCGGGCCGTTTTCACCAAGGGGAGGTTCACTGGAGGGAGGTTTGTCCACCGCCGAGAGAGGGGGGGAGGGACGAGGGACAGAGTACAGGGAACGAGGGACCAATGGGGAGCGATGAGCGATGACCGAGGGAGGAGGGTCGAGGAGTCAGCTCGGGTGGGCTGCCAGCGGCGCTCCAAGATCCAGGTTCGCATTGGGCCCAATCCTTGTTCCGAGTCAACGTCGGGAAGTCAGCACACAGCCTCCGTGGGAGTCCATTTCGATCGGGGCGATCCGATTCGATCATCGAGTCTGGCCTGGCCCGATCCGATTCGATGCCCATGCAGCCCGATGTTTGCATGGGCGCTGATGTGCATCTCGGCGTTGCCGATCCGATCCAATTCCGACTCCGTGCCGATGCGGCCCGATCCGACCCCATCCCATTCCGTCCAAACGCCCAAACAGTACTCTTTCTCGATCCGACCCAAGAAATCCGCGCGGACCTCCGAAAGTGTTTGCTTATGCCATTTTGTGCTTCTCGAGATAGACGGTGAATATCAATCATGAGGATGAACGGTTCTCCCAAGGTTGTCCTTGCATCGTTCCCTTTCGGCCCGTCCTTGGCCACTTTCGTTGGACCCGCCCCGCTCGAATGGTATCGACATGGCCTTCAAGGGACGTTACATCCGTATCGTGCGTCCTTTTTGTGCGGGTTGAATGTGTCCCCGTCCGTTTCGCCGACTTGCGCTCTTCCCCTGTTGTCTCTTCTCGCGCTCTTTTCCTTTTCGCCGTCGTGCCTCCATTCGCCTCCGGTGCACCCCACCGCTCGCTGACTGGCGCCTGACTGTCTTGGACCCCTTCGAGCCCGCGGACCTAGAAGTATCCCCTCCGACTCTGTCCCTATGCCGGCGCGAAGGGCGGGGGGGGAGACGACCACGACCTTTAGGGTCGTCTCCGCGGCTTCGGGCCCTCCTTTCGCTCTTTCCTCTTCTTCCTCTTTTCCCTCCGCCTCAGCTCGCTGTGCTCAGCAAAGAGCCCAAGGTGTCCCACTCCTCTCTTTCCCGCCGTGCGTCGGCGGCGACCGGCCGGCCGCTCGCAGGAGCGGCTGCGTGTCGCTGGGAGCCGTGCGCCAGGCGCCCGCCGCCCAGCGGGGCCCCTCTCCTCTCGGCGGCGCGCGGAGTGGTGGGCGACGAGAGGCGAACGGGCATTTCCCTCGCCGTCATCGCTGTCGTCATCGTCGTCGTCGTCGTCATCGTCGTGATCATCAGCATCACCATCCTCATCCTCATCCTCCTCCTCCTCGTCATCACGATCATCGGACTCATCATCCGCATCACCATCATCGTCATCGTAATCATCATTCTCAGCCTCAGCCTCATCATCATCATCATCATCATCATCATCATCATCATCATCATCATCATCATCATCATCAACATCAACATCAGCATCAGCATCAGCATCAGCATCATCAGTATGATTGTTATTATCATTATACCATCATCCGTACCATACATCTATATGTTCTTCAGTAACACCGTCACCGTCATCGTCATCGTCATCATGTCGTCGTCATCCTCATCAACATCATCAACATCAGCATCATCATCACCACCATCAACATCATGATCGTCGCAATCGTTCGTTATCATACTAAGCATCAACGCTATGATTGTTACTTCTAGTATTGCTAGTGTTGTTGTCCTTAGTGTTAACATTAACAATAAGATCATTCGTGTTATTTGAGGGAGTTTCTGTGGAACTCACGTCATCCTCACCCCCGGCGCGAAGAGCACGAGCCCAGAGCGGCCTCCGGCACCGTTTCCGGACAGATCCGGTGGATCCGGTGACGAATCCCAAACCGGCGCCCTCGCTTGAGACATCCTCACAAAACCGGCCCCGGGGGAGGTGCCCAGAGGAGCCCAGAGCGGCCTCCGGCACCGTTTCCGGACAGATCCGGTGGATCCTGGATCCGACGAATCCCAAACCGGCGCCCTCGCTTGAGACATCCTCACAAAACCGGCCCCGGGGGAGGTGCCCAGAGGAGCCCAGAGCGGCCTCCGGCACCGTTTCCGGACAGATCCGGTGGATCCGCCGACGAATCCCAAACCGGCGCCCTCGCTTGAGACATCCTCACAAAACCGGCCCCGGGGGAGGTGCCCAGAGGAGCCCAGAGCGGCCTCCGGCACCGTTTCCGACAGATCCGGTGGATCCGCCGACGAATCCCAAACCGGCGCCCTCGCTTGAGACATCCTCACAAAACCGGCCCCGGGGGAGGTGCCCAGAGGAGCCCAGAGCGGCCTCCGGCACCGTTTCCGGACAGATCCGCTGGATCCGCTGGATCCGCTGGATCCGGTGACGAATCCCAAACCGGCGCCCTCGCTTGAGACATCCTCACAAAACCGGCCCCGGGGGAGGTGCCCAGAGGAGCCCAGAGCGGCCTCCGGCACCGTTTCCGGACAGATCCGGTGGATCCGGTGACGAATCCCAAACCGGCGCCCTCGCTTGAGACATCCTCACAAAACCGGCCCCGGGGGAGGTGCCCAGATCCGCTGGATCCGGTGACGAATCCCAAACCGGCGCCCTCGCTTGAGACATCCTCACAAAACCGGCCCCGGGGGAGGTGCCCAGAGGAGCCCAGAGCGGCCTCCGGCACCGTTTCCGGACAGATCCGGTGGATCCGGTGACGAATCCCAAACCGGCGCCCTCGCTTGAGACATCCTCACAAAACCGGCCCCGGGGGAGGTGCCCAGAGGAGCCCAGAGCGGCCTCCGGCACCGTTTCCGGACAGATCCGGTGGATCCGGTGACGAATCCCAAACCGGCGCCCTCGCTTGAGACATCCTCACAAAACCGGCCCCGGGGGAGGTGCCCAGAGGAGCCCAGAGCGGCCTCCGGCACCGTTTCCGGACAGATCCGTGGATCCGGTGACGAATCCCAAACCGGCGCCCTCGCTTGAGACATCCTCACAAAACCGGCCCCGGGGGAGGTGCCCAGAGGAGCCCAGAGCGGCCTCCGGCACCGTTTCCGGACAGATCCGGTGGATCCGCCGACGAATCCCAAACCGGCGCCCTCGCTTGAGACATCCTCACAAAACCGGCCCCGGGGGAGGTGCCCAGAGGAGCCCAGAGCGGCCTCCGGCACCGTTTCCGGACAGATCCGGTGGATCCGGTGACGACGAATCCCAAACCGGCGCCCTCGCTTGAGACATCCTCACAAAACCGGCCCCGGGGGAGGTGCCCAGAGGAGCCCAGAGCGGCCTCCGGCACCGTTTCCGGACAGATCCGGTGGATCCGCTGGATCCGAATCCCAAACCGGCGCCCTCGCTTGAGACATCCTCACAAAACCGGCCCCGGGGGAGGTGCCCAGAGGAGCCCAGAGCGGCCTCCGGCACCGTTTCCGGACAGATCCGCTGGATCCGCTGGATCCGCTGGATCCGGTGACGAATCCCAAACCGGCGCCCTCGCTTGAGACATCCTCACAAAACCGGCCCCGGGGGAGGTGCCCAGAGGAGCCCAGAGCGGCCTCCGGCACCGTTTCCGGACAGATCCGGTGGATCCCGACGAATCCCAAACCGGCGCCCTCGCTTGAGACATCCTCACAAAACCGGCCCCGGGGGAGGTGCCCAGAGGAGCCCAGAGCGGCCTCCGGCACCGTTTCCGGACAGATCCGGTGGATCCGGTGGATCCGACGAATCCCAAACCGGCGCCCTCGCTTGAGACATCCTCACAAAACCGGCCCCGGGGGAGGTGCCCAGAGGAGCCCAGAGCGGCCTCCGGCACCGTTTCCGGACAGATCCGGTGGATCCCTGGATCCGGTGACGAATCCCAAACCGGCGCCCTCGCTTGAGACATCCTCACAAAACCGGCCCCGGGGGAGGTGCCCAGAGGAGCCCAGAGCGGCCTCCGGCACCGTTTCCGGACAGATCCGGGATCCGCTGGATCCGCTGGATCCGGTGACGAATCCCAAACCGGCGCCCTCGCTTGAGACATCCTCACAAAACCGGCCCCGGGGGAGGTGCCCAGAGGAGCCCAGAGCGGCCTCCGGCAAGGATGGAGGAGGAGGAGGAGGAGGAGGAGGAGGAGGAGGAGGAGGAACCTCATCCTCACCCTCGCCAACAAGCGCACGCACCTTCTTCTATATACAGAAACTCCCGATCAACCGCAGAGCGGCCGGCTAGTCATCATCGTCGTCGTCATCATCGTAGTCGTAGTCGTCATGACCATCATGATCACCATCTTAACCATCGCCAGGTGTCTTCCGCGCGCGCTGACGACCTCCCGCGCGCGCGGAAGAAACTCGGCGGTTTACGCGGCGGCCTTGCGCGCGCCTTCAGGCGCTCGAGGAGGCCCGGCAGCAGCAGCTCATGGACGAGCACCGGCGGCTCGACCAGGCTACCGCGGTCGCGCCCAACGCGGGCGTCTGTCGAAGAACAGAAAGCGGCATAAGCATACGGCTGGCGTTCGAAAGGTACAGGCTTGTTTCACGCTGTCCCCCATGTGTGCGATAGCGTGCACAGAAGAAGCCTTGGTATGGTATTGCGAGCACGGAGCCCTCGCGGGGGGCTCACCTCACAGGGATGTGAGGATTCCTTGGGTCTGCGTTTTGGCCCCCGTGGCGGCGCCTGCGGCGCTGCCCTTGCGACGCTCTGCGCGCCAGGGAGGGGGGGGTCCGGCGTCGATCCGAGAAGTCCGCGCGGACCTCCGAGAAATCATGTTTCTGCTGTGGATTGCGCCAGCAGTCTCAGGGGCAGCAGCGGTCGGCTCAGACATCCCGAAGGCCCAGACATCCACGCGTCGTGAAGAGACCTCGACGGCCGATTTTGCAAATGGTCGGCCTCTGGGGAGGCTGGGCCACGGGGCCAGCAAAGATCAGGAGGGGAAAAAACACACAGACACAATTAATCGTCGATTCCCAAGAAAATATGGGACAATATGGGAAGTGGGGGGGATAACAAAAACCCAGAAAATAAGGGAACATATGGGGAATCTCGTTATTTGTGTGTATTTATTTGTGTGTCCTTGGGCCCCTTGATAAGAATGATTCAGAGTGAAGAGCCCAGTCTCCGGGAAGAGGGTGATGCCTCTGGGAGCCCTGTTGTGAAAGCGGGGCGGAATGGCTCGGGGGGATTCGAGTGGGGCCTTGGGTCCGCGGGGGATCGGCCCGTGGGGGGGGGGGGGGGTCGGGGTTCCAGGTTTTCGGCTTCGAAGTGGGGTGTTTTCCGCGTTCTCCGGGATCCTTGGCCGTGCTCCAGCCCCGGGGGGTGTCTTCCAGTCTCTGCGCCTCGCCGAGTGCGCTCCCCGGGTGTCCAGCTCGCTCCGAAGGACCGCCGGCGTGCCGAGTTGCGGCCCGAACCTCTCGGGGACAACGTCGGGGGGGTGACTGGGCCGAGGGGGGCATCGACCCCGAATCGCCCACTCGTCTCCGATGCGATGTTTCCCCTCCTGAGCCGGTTCCCCCTGTCGTACGGGAACAAAAAGTGACACAAACATAAAACCTCGGAGGTCCGCGCAGATTTTTCGGATCGGCGCTGGACCCCCCTCCCTGGCGGCGCCTCCGGCGCCGCCCCTGGCGCGCTCCGCGCGCCAGGGAGGGGGCCCCCAGCGCCGATCCGAGAAATCCGCGCGGACCTCAGAGTTTTTATGTATAAGTCACTTTTTGTTCCCCTAGGTTCCCCCTGTCGTTCTCCCTCGCTGCCGTGGGCGCCGGGGGGGTATCGTGGATCTCGAGACTTCGGAGGAGCTCTGCGCGCCACGGTGCAGACTGTGACTCGAAGCTGGTGGGGGGGGATCAAGGCGGGGCGGCCGCTCGTGCCTGCCGCGCAGTGTCGTTTGCTCGCCAGCATCCATGTGGTCCAGCTGTCTGTGACTTGTCTGGCTGCGTTTGGCACCTCGGGGCAGAGGCTTCCGGGGGCCTCTGGAGGGCTCTGGGCACCTTCGCAGGCGTCCGGAGGCGGAGGACGACGTCGGTGGTCGTCGCCACGGCCGTCGCCACGGCCGTCGCCGCCGTCGTCTTCGCCGTCGTCGTCCCGAGGATGTTTTTGGATGCTGTCAAGGTGCCGCGGCCTCTGGGCTGCAAAACGCGGACAGGCAAGCGGGCAGGTCCCGAGAGGACGCTCGCCGAGGACGGGCGTGCAGAGCCCGCCGAGCGAGACCCAGGAAGGGTCCCCGGAGGGACGTGCAGACGCCTGCGTCGCGTCAAGAACCCGCGCACTAGCCTCGGGCCGAACGAAGGGGGGGATAGGGAGCGGGGGGGGGAAGAAATCTTTCGGCCCCGCCGCCGGGCCCATTCCTCGATACATGGGCGCCTCTCGTCACCGGGAGGCGCCGGGAAAATCAGCTACGTGAGCTGATTCTCGAACCCCCCTTTTGCTATCCCCCCCTTTCGCCCGGCCCAGCTGGTTCGGGGACACGTAAGATCCGAGTATGCCAGAGGTCGGGTTTGCCGAAGTTGTTTGACGAGCGCGTCCTGGATTTCGACGGTCTGGTTTTCGTGGGGACGTTGGCAGCGGGAATTTTTCATGATGGCCCCTTCAGGCCAACCCGAGTCCCCCGTAATGTCCAAAATCGGTAAAAAAATGATGACCCCCCCCTCCCCCCCCCCCCGGATTCCGACTGCCATTAATTCGCATCCGAATAACTATGTTTTGATGTGTCCCCCCTGGAAAATTTGCATGGGTACCGATCGATGCCATGTGTATATACCTCGGTACCAGGGAGAATGCCGATGGGGATTTTCCCGTTTTTCAATAAGAGACTGAATTTTTACATTGGGTTTTCGCCATTGGGTTTTGGAATTCAACATCGCTCCCGTGGAATGCAATCTATTAGCGGTATGCCGCCGCGCGCGCGTGCGCGCGCGCAAGTTCCCGTCTTCCAATCCGAGAGTGATTTGTTACATTGGATTTTGCCATTGGGTTTTGGAGTTCAACATCGCTCTCGTTGTGTCAGATCTATCAGCGGCATGCCGCCTCAGCGCGCGCGCTGGCGATTGGCATGTGTGCATTCAGTGTCGTATATCCACATTGGGATGTTCCCGCTTTCCGATCAGAGAATGAATTTGTACATGGGGTTTTCGCCATTGGGTTTTGGAGTGCAACATCGCTCACGTTCCGCCGCCGCGCGCGCGCTGACGCTTGGCATTTGTCGCATTCAGTGTCGTATATCCACATGGGGATGTTCCCGTCTTGCGATCAGAGAATGAATTTGTACATGGAGTTTTCGCCAGTGGGTTTTGGAGATCAAATTTCGCCCCGTTGTATAAAACCTATCAGCGGTATGCGTCCGCCGCGCGCGCGAAATTTCGCCCCGTTGTATAAAATCTATCAGCGGCATGCCGCCGCCGCGCGCGCGCGAGGATCGCAGCGACGCGGCAGTTCATTGTTGTGGTGCGGCGTGTTCTTGCGCGCGTCGTCGATTTCACCTGATTTCAGGCCGTGTCGCAGGAGGTTCCCATGATCTTCCACGTCCTCCGCCTCGTTCTCTCGCTCCCCCTCTCTCTTTCTATGTTTGTTTATCTCTCTCTCTCTCTTTCTTTCTCTCTATATCTCTTGGTTGTCTTTGAGGCAATGGACTAGTAGTTGTGGGGACCATGTGAAAAATATCGATCTGCTTTAGAGACGTCGGGTTGGAAGCCTCGGCCAGCGATGTGTTGTTCCTTGGCCGCCAGCACACAAAAGTTTGAACGATCGGTTCGGTAGTTTCGCAGCCCTGGGGCTGCAAATCCCAGATAGAGGAGGAGGAGGAGGAGGAGGAGGAGGAGGAGGAGGAGGAGGAGGAGGAGGAGGAGGAGGAGGACGAGGACGAGGACGAGGACGAGGACGAGGACGAGGACGAGGACGAGGACGAGGCGGAGGCGGAGGCGGAGGCGGAGGCGGAGGAGGAAAAGGAGGAAAAGGAGGAGGAGGAGGAGGAGGAGGACGGCGGCGACGACACGACGAAAGAGGATGGCGATGGGGGGAGGAGCATGCGGGGAGGGAGCAGAAGAACGAGGGGAATGAGGAGGACACCGCCGAGGACGAGGAAGAGGAGAAGGAGAGCGAAGAAACAGAGGAGGACGACGGCGCCGTGTTTGTCTAAGCACTCGCTTCCCTGACCTCCCGACCCCTTCCTGTGGACCCATCCCTCACGCATGGCAGTCTTGTGACTGCCCCGCTGCCCAGACACGCCCCCAGCTTCGGGCGGCCAGTCACACGCAGGGGCAATCCGCGTGGGGGGAGGATGGTAGCACGTTCGGGGCCCCAGAGGGCCCCCTCTGGGGCCCTCATTCGAAGGAGAAAAAAACGCCGTACAGTCGGGGCCCTGAACAAGGAACCCTTTTCGTTGGGGAGGGTCTCCCTCATTGGAAGGCGGAAAAACAACGCCGTAAACATAAACTTGTGGCGCTCCGCGCTAAAACATAAACATAAACATAAACGTAAACATAAGCATAAACATAAACTTTTGGCGCTGCGCTGGGCCCCCCCCCCGGCGGCGCCTCCGGCGGCGCCCCCGGCGCGCTCCGCGCGCCAGGGAGGGGTGTCCGGCGCAGGTCCAAGAGGTCTGCTGCGCGGAGCGCCCAAAGTCTCTGCTTTTGGCGTGTTGTCTTCTGCTAAGAAGTCCCTCTCGGGGCACGGAGGGGCCCCTTTCGAGGTCCTCAGTCCTGCAGTCCGCGGTTCCCCTCCTTCTGTTGCGCCCGACAGGCGTTGAGAATGTGGGGACGCGTGAGCGACGCAGAAAAACAGATGCGAGTACGCCGACGTTCGCGCGCGAATTGTTTGCGGAAGGTGGCGCGTCAGCGACCTCGCCTCCAAGGCAGCGTGCTGCGCTGCCGGCCCGCGCAGGCCAACGCGTGGGTTCGCTGTGCCATCTCGCGCGCGACCCGTTTCTTTTCTCACCACCCACCAAACCACCCCAACCCAACCCGAAGGCTCAGATTTACCCTCGATTTCCAGTGGGGGGGGGGTCGGGAAACGTCGAAAAAACACATGTGGAACCCTTCTCCCCCCCAACCCGAAATTCGGGTCTTCGGGTTGGGTTGGGGTGGTCTGGTAGGTAGTCATTTTCGTCGCTCGCACGCGGCCCGGATTTTTGTTGCCCTGTAGGGGGTGCCCCCGGCAGAACAGCGGTGGCCAGCTGGGGCGGCCAGTGGCCGAGTGGGGCGCGCCCCTCGCCTGCGTCCCAGGTGGGCGTCGGAAGGAGGAGGAGGATCGAGGAGGAGGAGGATCGACGAGGAGCAGGAGGAGGAGGATCGAGGAGGAGGAGGATCGAGGAGGAGGAGGATCGAGGAGGAGGAGGAGGAGGAGGAGGAGGAGGATCGAGGAGGAGGATCGAGGAGGAGGAGGAGGAGGAGGAAGGCTCCGAGCTGGACGGCCGAGGCGAAGGGCGCCCCCCGCCCCCCCGGCAGCGCCGGGCGGCATCCCCCTCGGGGCCGCCAGGACGAGCTCCGCGCCGAGGCCTTCACGGCCCAGGAGCGCCCTCCCCCCCCCATCGGGGGCAGCGGTGCACGCCGGTCGTTGGAAGTGGGTACTTGTGGATGCCCAGGTCCCGATCTATTGAAAGCGCCTTCCTAATTACCTCAAGAATTGGTGTGCTTCTGCCGCGTTGTGTTGTTCTCCGGGAGGGCCTGGGCCCAGTTTGCGTTATCCGCCTTGATACTTCGTGCTTTTACTTATTCTGACCGACGGGTCGGAGGGAGTAGGCTCAGGGGGGGGATGCATCGACCCCACATCGCGCAGTCATCGCCGATAGGGGCCCCATAGCCCCCCCTCCCAAGGACCGTGCGGAGTCGCTATCGAGAGCCTATCGCCGATCGATGCCGGTGCACTGCCGATTCCATGTCGACGTGTCTTCCTCTGAGCCAGTCCCTCCCCCTTCGTTACCCATCACCTCAGGAGCGAAACAACGGGCTTCTCGTCCTCCTCTTCGCGCCTGGCTACCGCTCGCGACCACTTGTTGGCAGAGCCTCCTGTCACAAGTCTCAGAAACCAGAAGCCGCACCCCGTGTGCTAACGTTGCGTTGCAAATGCGTAGGGCACCCTCAGTACAGCTAATAACGTTTTTCCCGGAATGGTCTTGGGCCCAGGGTTCTCTTTCAGGATGGTAATTTGTCCTTGGTGCCAGGTTCGCGCAGGGCCGGTGAATTCCCTTCGTTGCAAGACTAGTAAAGTAACAGTTTGGGTAAACCCATTGCGTTTCGCGCGTGCCCGCCCAAGGAAAGTGTGCCCCCCAATCTCGGATCGTCGATGTCTAACGGGGTCCGCAGACCCCCGGCTTCTCTTGTAAAAGAATGGGTGCGGAGCGTTTTGCGCCGAAGTTTCACTAGATAACGAAGTCTGGAGACCCTAAATAATTTCGATATATTGAATGATTTTGACTTCTTGCGTGCCCGCTCGAGGACGGCGCGTCCTTCGCGCAGAATTCTCGAGGATGTCTCTAGCGACACGATTGTTTTGTAGAACTTGGGGCGCCGGGGAGCCCCAGGATGCCCAAGTGGTTCTGGGAGTGCGGTCGCACCGTCACTCACAAAGGATCGTGGCAATGGGAGCGCGGACGCCGCGCAATTTAGATGGACCCTGGCCATGGAAGCGCGGGCGCTTCGTGATTTTCGAGGGCGGGCACCATGTCATTTACGATGGACCCTGGCCCCAGAAGCGCGGTCGCATTACTATTCACAAAGGCTCGTGGTCTTGGGGGGGGTTGGGGACGCAGCGCAGTTTACGAGAGATCGTGGCATAGCGCGGACGCATCGCAGGTTACGAGGGATCGTGGCCTAGGGAGTGTGACAAGGAAACGCGGCCTTGGGAGCGCGCACCCACCGTAACTCAAGACAGATCTTGGCCTTGGGAGCGCGAACCCAACGTGATTTACCGGGGATCGCGGCCTTGGGAGTGCGGACGCAGAGTAATTCACGAGGACTCGCGCCGTCGAGTCCAGCGCCGAAGTTTCAGGAGGCCGAACAGCCACACCCGGGAGAGAGTGGAGGGGGTATCGTAGTTGGGCGACCTCCGCGTGGTGCTTCGTGGCCTTGGGAGCTCGGACGCAGCGTAATCTCCGATGGATCTCAGCCCTGCGAGCGTGGACGCACAGAGTTAACGAGGGATCGTGACCCTCGGGCACGTTCTTTGTCACGTTCCCTGGCGCTTCCCCCAGGCACGTCGCGCGGCGCGCACGTCCACTGGCACGTTCCGTGGC